TTTTTACGCAACTTTTATAGCCTCAGACAGTCTAGATAAGATTTATTTTATTCAAAATATTCTCTTCAGAGGCCGAAAAATAACACTGTTTTTGAGTGAACAATTCCATAATCTGAACATAATTGTAATTGTTTATGAATTTTTAATTTTGAATAAAATGATTTATTCTATTTTGCTCACATTTTGGCTAACATTTCACTACAAGCATTTTTATCAGAAAGAAATGTCGAAATTTTTTTTATCAAAACATAAAAAAATTTGCGTTAATGTATATATTGTATTCAGATAGTTTTAGGTTTCTTAAATAATCTGCAGTTTAAAATATATAAAATAAGTTTTGTAAAATTTTAAATTTAATAAAAATGTAACAGGATGTAAAAATGTATCAGGATGTAAAAATGTATCAGGCGAGATTTTCTATACGAATGTGGAAAAATCATTAAAAAGAAACATTTAATTGATATTCCAAAGCAAAAAGCAAACACTTTATATAAAAAAAAGCTCAAATGACAGCTTTCTCCGTTATTCCAATCGTCAGCATATTTTTTCCATAATTTTATTCATTTGCTGATGGTAGGTGTAGATAAAGTATAATAGAGTTGATGCTATCACCTAAAATTGAACCAATAGTCGTTCGTAAAAGATATGTTACAGGAAGAAAATTCTTTGATTTCTTATGAATGCATTTAAATCGATGCTGCATGTTTTTGTTATACAAAAGCTTTATTCTAACAAATATGCATTCCCTAAGTGGTATTAGTTGATTTTGAAAGATATTTAATTATTTAGCTGTGTGATACTTGATAAAATTAGATGAACCACCGGTCGTATTATACCACAGCTTCAAAAATGATTATACCATCTTTGGGAGTGTTCTCTTGAATAAATAAACGAAAACAAATAAGATAATTGCGTGTGTCAAACAAAAACAAAAAGTGATTACTCATCTTACAAGTTTTGTTTTGTGAGAAAAATTAGTGCTTGTTGATGCAAGATAGATGTATAAAAACTTATAAAAGAGGTGAGCGCCACTTATTTAATATACCTACGTACCAGTTCTTAAATATAAGAATAAATTTGTATTTGTTATTTAAGCTTAATTAGAATAAGTTAGTGTTTTATGTTTGACGATTAAAGTATATTGATATGTTTCGAATTCACTTTCGTTGTTTATTTCCAGTTTAATTCGTGTATTTAATTTCATTGCTGAATGGTTCTTTTGTTTCAAAATGCATATTGGTTGTTTATTTTTGGTTTAACAGTCAATGTAATTTCATTGTAATCACGTTTTTTTAGTTTTCTTTTTCGTTTTTATAATAATGTACCCCAATCAACAATCAATTTTGTAATCGTTGTTTTTTATGGTCTTCTTTTTGTAACGCAGAATGATTGATTTAGTAAAGTAAATTAATTGTCTGCACATTTTTTCAACACTTTTGGCTTCCATTTTTTACTAAATTCATAAATTTCTTAAGAGTCAACAAATTAAATATTTTCAACTATATTTTAAATCAAAATCTTGATTTTTTTAATACTAGATGTGGACTGTGTCCTCGTATAGTTTTATTACAATTAATCACAATTACTTGTAATTACGATTACAGGTAATCATGATTACACGTAATCATATATTTTGATTACTTTAATCATAATTACCTGTAATCGTTTTTGAAATGATTACCTGGCATACGATTGCAGTTGTAATCAAAATATTTGCGAATTGTAATCATGATTACAGTTACAATCAAAGTTATAAAAAGCTTTAATCATTATCACCACTAATTGCTTACAGTAATTGATTGTTGTAATCACGATTACAGCCGTAATCAAAATTATATTATCCTGTAATCATGATTACAAGTAATTAATTTATGAAATCGAAAAATGTAATCGATTGCATTTTCTCAACTCTGGTACATAGATATATATATAAACGTTCTGCTTTATTTAAATAAATATGACTTAATGATTCGCTGTTTCCATAACTCTGATAACATCGTTACCAGATTGTAACCAAAATTAATCTATAATTATTAAATAATTATTTAAATAATATTAATTAAATAATATTAATACTACCATGCGTAGGTCAAAACAAGTTACTATGTTTACCTTTAATGACGTCACATTTTGAAGCTACCAAAATATCAACAAGCGACATTTAATTCAAGCTATGACGTCACCGTGGGAAGAAACTGTGGTAGAGCCCCTGAATTAGACAGGCCAACTTATCATTTATTGTTGGAGCAAAGAGCTAACATAAGCACAGCGAATAAATATTTTCAAGTGGTAGTTTATAATTGTAATTCTTGGTCTAATAACTTCGATTTAGTAGAATTTAATCCACCACTATTTCTAAACAATGCGTAGGCTTATATAATTCACCACTTTATAGAAATTATGGCAAGCTTTACATTGTTAAGAGCAAGCAAATATTGTCAACTATTTGCAAATTTTACTTTGTAGTTATTTACCGTTTTTTAAATTATTTTGGCGTGTCTGTAATAACATAACGTTAACTTGCGAACTTGCTTGCTCCAATATTGCTTGATAGGTCAGCTCTGATAGTATAGGAGCCTTAACCCCTTGGGGACGGGTGATTCAGAAAAGCATTCGCACGAAATCAGAATCAAGTTGTATTTAAATAAAAACGGTAACTTAAATGTAGTCGTTTCTAATTTTACATACTTACTTTGCTTTTACTTTAATTATTGTTAGTTTAATCATATATATAATCAATGTTAATTCAAATTATAACTAAATAGTTTTATTTTGAACAAAGTAATGGTGCATTAAATAAATCAAAAAATTATAACTCCGCCTACAAATAAACTGTTAAAGAACTACTTTGGTTACCAGTTTTATCTTTTTACCCTGATTGATACGGATTTATGCTGTCACGTATTTGTGACAGTCGTAATCTGTGGCATATTCACGTCATCACTAGGTGAGAAAAAGTTTACACATAACACAAAACGATTCTAGAAAAAAACTGAATAGGCTCCTATAATCATATTCATCTCTAAACAAAGGTGAATAAATAAATAAAACAGATACAAACTTTAGCACTATAAATTTCCAGGCAATGGAATTCGTTTTCCTCGGAAATGTTATGTGTTTAAGTCGAATTTTGTAACACCTTACACGCACTATTTTCTAAAAATAGGAAAGGAAGTTGAGGAAGCAAAAAAAAATTTATCTACAAAAATGAGAAAATTAATGTACTTAAACTGAAGTATTCATTTTTAATTGAATTATTATTATGGAATGTATTCATAAAATGATCTCGACTACAAAGAATTATATATTACCACAGAAATGCATATCAGTTAAAATACATTCAAATATTATCTTTCGTAAATTCATCTTAACTTATATATATATATATTGTTTTCTTACCTTGCATGGGATGACGATGACATTTTTGTTTCATTAAAAAGCAGTTAAATATATCAAAATGGTTTTTTTTTTTTCGATTGTTGTTAAATCGTTCTTTCAGTTACTTAATGCAACATTAGAATCTCCATATAAAGCAAGTTTTTATTTTTAAAGGGGATTCTAATGTATAAAGTGAAGATTAAATATACATTTTGTACATTTTACTATAAAGTATATTTTTTTTTTATTTTCTGTAGTAAGAGATTTTTGTACGGATCTTATATATTTCCACATAGTAGATTTTAAATCCGTTTCTCTTTGCATGTTGCAGTCTTTTTAAAGAATTTAATAATTCATTCCTAATCAAGATTTTCTGAAAATTCACTCAAGTGAATACTCAATGTCACCACTTCTTTGCTGCGTATGAAGTTGGTGGACACAGGGTGAACACAGTTCACGCATTTCAATTTAAGATGTGATGCATTCGAAGGGGTCTGTCCAGACATTTTGTGAAAGATCCGTTTTTGTAAAATTGTGAAAAAATTACTCGTAATTTGTGAAAACAAAATAAACGTTAAGTCTCATTCTTTCAACAAGGTTCCTGCTTTTATGAATTTGTGCAAATAGGGTCCTGTTATAGCAAAAAAAAAATGTTCCATGAGTTTTTCAATTGTAAATAGATACAAGATTATGCTCAACACTGTAAAGTTATAATAAAAAAAAAATTACATTTTCAAAAATGAACAGGAATTGCTGCTACTAAATTAGGGACTTACAAATATTTAGTATTTGGCCTATACTGCTGAAAGCAGAACATTTATAAAATCTTTTATAAAAGATTGCATTAGTATTTCTTATTACGCTTTTAAAATCACAATAAAGTTACTACTATCTATAATAAAGAAATATGCTAGCTTAATAACCATTTTTGAGTCTTCATTCTTTTAAGTCGTCATTTTGAAGTAAATCATAATTTGTATTATATTATTCATTTTCAACTGATGTATTTTCACCGAAAACAAATCCATACATAGATTTAGCTATAGCGCACGAACTACAATTTCAACTGTCGGACATGAAACAATTTAAGACGATAATCGCAAATTATAATAATCTTAAATTATATAATGATAATAATCTTATTCTTAAATTAAGATTACTTTACATAATTTAAAATTATCATCTTAAATTATTGAAAATAATCTTAAGTTAATAATAAAATAATTAGAAATCTTCATACCTCTAAATGAATATTTAAAAATCGTTTTTTATGGGTCTAACTCTCACAATCACCATAATTAGCTTTGATTATAAAGTCTGGGTTAAGCCGAAAGGAGGCTGATTGTTTGGGGTTCCGTAGTCGAAAAAAAATTTTGAACCGCTGCTTTAGATCACTTGCACTTAAGTTTTGATTATTGCTAAAAAAATATGCTTTTTTAATGATTACAAATTCAATTCTCTCCATAGTTATTACAAGTAGTAGATTCAATGTCTAACATGAACAAAATGATATATTAGATATTTTATGTTGCTTTGTAAAAGAAACATTGTTACATTTATGCAAACATTTACACTATGCAAACATTTTTTAAAAGTAGGTATTGGACTAATCTTTCTTCACCATGGAAGGTGTCGGAAGTGTTGCTCAGTTTGCGTTGCCTGGTAAGCACTTTGTGATCAAAGTCACGTAGGCGGGCAAAATTACCCACGCCACACTGCCACAGATACCCGCTCATAGAGTTGGGCCACATTCGCGCATCACACACAACAGAGAAAGGAAGGACAACACAAAGAGAGGAACATTCATGCCCTAAGCGGGATTCGAATCGCTACGCAGTTAGGCACGCTAACCGCCCGGCCACTTGTTCGGCAAACATGATAACAACAATAGTAGTATCTTTCGGATAGAGGAATTCGACCATTACAGATGGCTAAGTTTTTGGGTGTTTAATTTGTGAAAGTTCATTCAAATAATAGTGCTATAACTTAGGGGATAAATGTGACAATTGATAGTCTTTTCTTACAATGATTGTTTTGGTACAATTAGCCCATAAATAATTAGATTCTAGTACTACTCTAGAGAGTACTAGATTTTTCGTATGTTTATTCATTATTTTTAAGTTTTAGAGAAAAGTTAGTTCAGGTTTATCGAAAGTAAACCATAAAGTTTCAAATGTCGGAAATATTTTTTCTAAAAAATTTAAAATTGTAAACTAATTATGTGAGGATTACTACTAAATTTTTTTAATTCTGAATTATCTTGGCATTAGTAATTTTGACTTTAACTTTTCGAAATAGACTATTCCAGTATTTGAAATTTCATGGTAAACACTCAGCTCACTTGATCTAACTTTTTCTATATTTTGAATTTTCAACTTGAAGGTATTGCATCAGAATTAACCTCGAAGCATTTTTCTCGCGTTATAGCTTCCTTTTAAAGAGTCTCCAAAATTAAAAAATATGCTACTTAAATGTGTTAGCTTATGGAAAATTGAGTGGACATAATTACCTTATTAAGCCACTAATTAATATATTTGTCATGTGTTTTTGGAAACCGGAACTGAAATGTGTTTTATTGAAATGAAAGAAAAAATATTAATTAGTAGTTAGCAGTTATATTCTTATATAATTAGCAGTTATATCCTTATAAAAAAAACAAAGACATACGTAAAACCCTTATTGTGAGTTAAAATCAAATTTTGAAATAGTCCAATGCGCAATATTTTCGAAAAATAGGAAAAAAATCGAAGAATCAGTAAAATAAAAAATAAATGCATGTATCACGAACATGCATAGAAAGGCACTTGAAACTGAGGAATGTTTTTTTTATTGAATTATTGAGTATATCTCAAAACCATCTCGAGTGGATGATAAACAAACGGGGAAATAAATTGGAGCAACATGAACTTGAAGAAAAAGAATTATATATTACCACACAACTAATATTTTAGCAACTTTAATTAATCCATCCTTGTTTATACTTGTTCTTTACTTTGTATAGGTTGCAGATGACATTTTTTTCCACACGGAATCAGTAAAAAAATGGTTTTGTTCTAATATTATGGATTTTACAGTAGATTATTCTTTCATTTGCTTGACACAACATTAGATTCATAAAAAAGTAAGTTTTTTTTTTAATTTCATGCTGTTTTATTTCTTTGAATTTTAATTCGAATGTTTTACTTTGATATTTTATTGCTTAACGTAGTGCACCGATAATTAATTAAAGTAGAGATTTTCAATTTTTCTCGACAATGAAGCCCTAAGTAATCCAACTTCTTTTGACAAAACCCCAACTTTATAAAGTTTATTAGACCTGCGAATATGATAACCAAATAAAAAAATAATAATTGAGTGAAATGCTACTAATTATTTTCAAAGAAAAAAAATTAATAATGAAATATTTGCATCATGAACACAAATTCTACTTTAAAAGTACGTGGGAGAAATTTCATCATATATATTTGAGAATTGAATCTGCGATGGTTCACTAGTAAATAAGACAAACCAATCATATTCATAAATTTTAAAAAATACTACCACTTTAAATATGAAAATAAAATCTTCGGGAAAATCCGGATGAGTTGGCAGAAATGCAATAGTGTAAACTGGTTTACCTTCATACTAGTTTGATCGGACTACCTATATGAAATCGTGTGGAGGCTGTCAGTTATAGGAGGCGTTGATTAACTCGTGTTTTCGTAGCTAAGCGTTGGTGACCGATCACGAGTTAGCTCGTGTTTTCGTGGTGAAAATTTTAAAAAGTAGGCGTAATTTTCCTTACTTTTCAAGCTTTACTATTTAATTCTCTACCAATTTATTATAACTTTACGAAACCAAATATGTTAGCAAATCTTATGGTGTACCGTTACACTCTGACACAAAACCTCTTCTCTCTCTCAAACTTGTCTGTTCAATCTCACTACTTCATTTTAATTTTCTCTCAGTAAAAGATACTGAACCCCAACTTTCACCTTTAAGTTGCGCTTCGGCGATTTATTATTTATTTCCACTCAGATGAATTAGTTGGAGCCCCTAGCGGGGCTGATGCTAAGATAACCAACACATATGAGAATGAGTGTACCGTTACACGTAGATGATTGTTACGGCATTAAAAATTAGAAGTTTTTAAAGTTTATTTAAATTGTTTTACTTCCACTGTTGCTGTTGTTAACTTACGTCGCACTAGAGCTGCACAATGGGCTATTGGCGACGGTCTGGGAAACATCCCGGAGGATGATCCGAAGACATGCCATCACAATTTTGATCCTCTGCGGAGGGGATGGCACCCCCGCTTCGGTAGCCCGACGACCTGCGCGCGAAGTCGAGCACTTTACGGTAGAACAGTTTAACGAGGACCAATACCGCACACCCTCGGTCCCTACGCAGACTAATCCAAGTGGTCACCCACCCGCACACTGACCGTAATCAGTGATGCTTGACTTCGGTGATCTGCTGGGAACCGTGTCTTAACGATCAGTCCACTGCGGGACGTTTTACTTCCACATTCGCTTTCAAAGCAATGTCCGGGCACATGGGGTAATTTTCAGAAAAGCTGCCGGTCAGCAATGCGTTAAGCATGCTCTTTCAAATTGTTCCAACATGTAAAATTTTCCGAGACATGCTAAAAAAATATATAAGTTACATTGAATTAGAATAGAGGTGTTCACATTATTTTGTTCCGAACTTGTATAGATTGTTGAACTGTGTTCGACGGCTAACTCTGCTCCAGAACGTCTCTCTCCCGCACTCAATCCAAATACAAGTCCCCCGTAAATACATCACATATACGTATAAACAGTGTCCGTATACGTATGAACTTTGCTCCAAATCTCTTTTTCCCGCACTTTATTCAAATAAAAGTCCCTTTCAAAAACATCGCCGGTCGCAAACTCGCATAAGTCACGTATACCGCAGTTTGCCTACTAAAGAGTAAAAACTTTTCTAAACAAACGATCATGCAGCTTCAATACTGAATTGATAACTTTGTAAGCGAAACATCCGAATTATTTTGTTAGCACAGGTGGGTGGAGATGAATGGAAAGTTAACATTCAAGGAGATTTGAGGCAGGTGTGTGAAAGTGAAAGAATCCCTCATTAGAAATTGAGAAAGTAGATGATACGGACGCAGATTTTATTATTATTTAAATTCAATCTTTCTTCTTGTTTACAAAAATTGTGATAAATATATTTTTCTCATGTTTTGACCTAAATTAGTACAAAATATAGAAGAAAATTTTTTTTTTTAATTCTACGACAAAAAGTTAAGATTTATATTTATTATATTTTTTTTAATATTTTTAAGCTTTGTCATAGATGTCTTTCAAAAGGAGTTTCTAAAATTTATAAAAAAAATTTGAAGGAAAACTGCATCCTTTCTAAAGTTTTTATGTGGAAAATGTTTAAAGGTAATAAAAAAATTTTTGAGGAAACGTTACATCGTTTTTAAAGTTTTATTGAACTATTCAATCACTTGGTGACGAGTTAGACAAATTTTAATTGCAATATAAATCAAGTTGAGAATTTTTATTTTGTTCTAAAAAGAATTTAAAAGTTCTTATTTTATTCTGAGAAGTTAAGAATCTTTAGAGTTTTTACTTTTTTAAGCTTTGTGATAAAAGTTTTTCGACAGGAATTTTTAAAATTCGTAACAATTTTTGATGGAAAACTGTGTTTTTTATGAAGTTTTTATGCGGAAAATGTTTAAAGTTAAAGATTTTTGTGGAATAGCAACCTGGTTTTTTAAGTTTTAAAGTTATTATTTACTTGGTGACGTGTTAGACAAATTACAATACACAAATTAAAATTTAATTACAATATAAATAAAATTGAGTGATAAATAATTTTTCACTTGTTTTGACCTAAATTTATACAAAATAATAAAATAATTTTTTTTAATAAATTCTCCGACAAAAAGTTAAGAATTTTTAGACTTTTTATTTTTATAAGCTTTGTACTAAAATTCTTTCGATAGGAACTTCTAAAATCCATAACAGTTTTTGAAAGAAAACAGCGTCTTTTGTAAAGCTTTTATGCGGAAAATGCTTGAAAAATTTTTTGAGGAAAAAACTACCTCGTTTTTAATGTTTTATTGAAGTAATTTACCACTAGACGTATTAGATAAACTTTAAATACAATATAAATTATTTAATCTCAATAAATCTTTACCATAAAAATATAGTTGTTTGCTTGCACTTCTAATTTTTTATTATTTATTTATTTATTTTATCACTGCATATTCAAATTTATAAAAAAAAAAAATTAAACATTTTGGGAAAAAAAATCGCCAAATCCATTTTTAATTAGTTTCGAGACACAATTTATCGAACATGCACTTATAATAATGGGGATTTTAAAATGGGAACATTTCAATCAACAAGTCTTTAAATGTGTATCATTTAAAATAATAATATTGACTACATTGCCATAAGCTTATAATGGCACACCCAAATGCTTGAAAATTTGTGGCCGATACTTATTAAAAAAATTGACGCATGAGACTGTTTTTTTTAAAAAGAAAGAATCCAGCAGGAACCAATATAGAAGTAGAAAAAGTCATGAACTTCTTTAAATAATTACTTTCTATTTTTAATCTGTGTCACAATAGGGCAATCGAAACTGTGAAAACTTGTCGTCTTCTCTCTCTTTAATTGTATTAATTTATTCTATCAGTTACTCAGTGCCTTCTACTTTCGTTAATAAGTGATTTGTAATATTCGTATTAGATTACAATTTTTTTAGTAAGATTCTTTAAATTCTGTTAATTTTTTATGCATTTTTTTTATTTAGTTTTGAAAATAAATATTTAAAGGTGGCTAACCTGCATAATTTTTTTTACTAGGTAATATGATAACAAACGAAACTTTAAATTTTTAAAAACGTAAAAATATGCTAGAATTTAAAAATTCTAGTAACAATATCCTGCTCTAAGATTGTAACTCCCCAACTATTAATGAAAATTTTTTTTTGTTTCTGTTGTTTATCAAATGCGTGACTCACGGATGAAAAAGCTTAAACCAGTGCCGGATTACTCATAAGGCCAGACTGGGCCATCTGGGTCCCCCAATGATTAGGAGCCACCTTAAAATGGATTATTTGAAAATAAATTTTAAAAAATTAAGAAAAACAATGATTTAACAAAAAATCAATTTTAAATATATATTAATAAAATACGATATTTTTTTTGCATAATGTTAATCATATTGCTTTCTTAAATGAAAAGATATGTAAACACTTTTATATTTGAATAAATAAAAAATATACGAGAATTTTTTTTTTTTTATCTGAGGGCCCCAGAAATTTGAATGGCCTGGGGCCCCGCGTGTGCTTAATCCGGCCCTGGGTTAAACAAATTCTGCTGACCCATTAACTTAATAATTATCTCTTGATTAGTTTTCTCGTATTTTTGTAGTTGAAGGGTTAACAGTTATTTCACTACCATTATTTATTTATTTTTATAACCATTGTTGAACAGTCGACGCAATTTCGAATGTGCGGCTACTAATGTTCAACTCCGTAACCTTATAATTTTGAATTCAATGACCAAATATTAAGAGAAATTTGTCTTCGTGAAGAACTCTTTGATGGAACATACCAGCATTTGCGTCTCATGGAGAAGAAAACCACGAAAACCTCTAAAGATTAGCTGGATGGGAGGGGACTCATCATTCGTCAACCACTGATGATATTTTTCATCAACCCTGTGGTCAGTATGAGCTGTGTGCAGAATTTGTATCAACCAGCCAACACTGGAATTCGAACTCGGTTTGTTTGACCTCTTAATGTTAATTTTATTTTTCGTGTATTACACTGTATCTCAAGAACTTTTAAAGCGAATTGAAAATATTTTGCATACAACTAAAAAATGTGTTTATCCAAAAATAAATAATTGCAAACTATAACTTTAAATTAATACGTATTATTTTTATTATATTATTTAATAATAGTCGAAATGTATACACCTTTTTAAAGTGCATAAATTTACAAGGCAAGGACAAAATAATTTGAGCTGACTATGTCGAATAGTTTGTGAGAAATTGAAATTTAAAAATTGATTTCTCGTGAAATATTCAATTTAGTTGTAAAAAAAGGTATGTTCATTAAAAGAAAGTGTGTTAATTCGCATGTTTTAAATCAGACCCTCGAATCTCTAAGTGTGAAGATCCGATCATTAGATCAAAAGTTATTCAGGATGGTTTGTTTTCTTTTTCTTTTTTTATCTTCTAATTCCAAATTTTTAAATTTTTTTTGGTTGTTTTTACCTTGCATAAATATTTAACTTCTAACCTATATATTTTCTTACTTCATCATTGACAAGGCTCTTAAAAATACCTGCAAATGGATGTGAATCCGAAATTCCATTTAATTTGGAATATGCCCTGTGTATATTATAAGTTAGAGCAACGTTTTGCCTAGTACTGAAATGAATGTTGTATTTCACAACAGTAGTAATGTGTATTTTTCATAATATCATGAATGTAATATAGTAACCTTAATTATCATAATTTTTTACAACTCAGTTAAAACTACATTCCACTTTACACTGAAATGAATGTTGATTTTTTCTACAATAGTAATGTGTATTTGAAATAAATCTATAAGTAGCTAAAAGCTGCATTTCACTTAGCACAGAAATGAATGTCGCATTTTACAACTGCAATAATATGTATTTATCTTAATAACATTGTTACAACATTATAAATTTTTTTAAATTATCATAAGAGATTATCGTTAACTCAAAACCATTCATTTTTCTCTGAAATGAATGTTCTATTTTACAACAGTAAAATTGCAATTTGTTCCGTCAATGTTGTAAAATGCAATATTAAAATAATAATAATAATGTAATAAATACATATTGTAATATATTAAAATTGTAATATTCCTAGCTGCAAAATAACCTTGGCCTCTCATTGGATCAATATTCACAAATCTTGACTCAACAAGTGTTCAAAGGGCCGTTATTTTCCGATATTGGTTCGATATCGAATTGGCCGATTCAGCTGATATTTTACACTATTTTTACAACTAATATTGGCTCTACTCATAACTTTCAGATGCTTTTATAGGCCTTATATAGCCGTATATTGGCCCTATATAGGACCCATATTAAAACAATTAGACATCCCTATATTGGTCTCTCGGTGAAAGCTTATGTACTACCCATATTGAGCACAACTGGGGCCAAGGTAGAATGTTGCTAGGCATATTCTGTAAGTTTTCTATTATAACTAAAAGCTTCATATCAACCTTGCACTTAAACGTTATATTTTGCAACAGTGATTCCTGCACGGTTTGTGCTCACACTCTTAGGCTTCTTCGGTTACATCAATCTCTATGCCATGCGAGTAAATCTCAGCGTGGCAATGGTAGCCATGGTAGGCGAGGCTCACCCAGACAATGGATCCAATGAAACAGTTATAACATGTCCGGAGCTGATAATGCCAAAAAATTTAACCAATGAAAATGATATCGAGGTAAGTTTTAAAATATATGTACTAATATAAAATCTATGCCATTATGTCATAAAGGGTGTCAAAACCTGAATATTAAAACAAACAACTAAAAAAAAATTTAAAAAATCGGAAACGTAAAGACATAGATCTTTTTTAATTAGCTTTTGATTATTTCATACATTGCTTTCAAACTGCTTTAATGCATTGTTTACCATACATTTTTTTTACAAATTGTTATGCTAATGTGTTTTACATTGTTGTGCGAAGTTTGAAGAAATATTAATTAAATATTTCAAGTACTAAATACTCAAGTAATAAATAATAATAAATGTAATAATACTATAATTCTAGTAATAAATATATGTGAAATTCTCAAGTTTAATTAAATATTTCAAATATTTGAATTTTATTTTATAAATAACTAGCTGAATAAATATTTAAAAATGTATATTGAGAATAAGGTTGGAGTTTGTTTTACTCTTTCATTTTGTATATAAACTTTAAACCTGTACTACACAACGATAAATTTTGCTATTCCTATAAATTACTTTTTATCAATTTTATGTAATTAATTATATTTAGTTTTATAAGCGGTGTTGAACAGCCGACACAATTGTGATTTTACGACTACCAATGTTGGATTCAAAATTAGTTGGCTGCACCGCCGTAGCCCTCTAATTTTGAACCCAATCCAGAAGACAGGAGAATTCATAGGTCGAGAAAAAACTAGCTTTCGTAGATGACTTTTTGATGGGACTAACTAGACTATTTGAACTAGATGGAGAGGGAAAAAAATCTTTAAAATAGTCTCCACAGACTATTTTGAAGCTTAACCAGTTAGCCCATCAAACCAACTTCGATGATAAAAATTAGTCATAGAAATTTATCCTATTTTTACTAATTTATATATTTGATTCGGGTAGACTATATTTGATGGTGCCCCTTTATTCTCGCCAAGTTGTGATCGCGGTTGATCGCCAAGCCGGGCGGCATGTAAACTCTCTTTACACACATAGTATCCCCAAGAGATTTTGAGCGCGCTGATTGGTTTTCTCGGCAACGCCATCTGTGACGTATGGCTATTTCATTCTGCCATGCTTGTTATTTTCAGCATAGAGTGATTTCCATACTCCAGCTTTTGTGTACAAACTTCAAATATCAGTTTTTTTACAGAGAAACTGCCTTCTTCATTGAAAAATGAAGTAAAAAATAGTTCCTCAAATACCATTACCCTTAGAAGTAATGTTCTAAATTTAGACGATTGCAATAGGTGGGTAAGGGCATTTGGGGAACTTACCAATACGAAATGGAATTCTAGAACATCCAAACCTCATGGAAAAAGGTTTGTTTGTAGGTAAATAACTAGTTTAGTTATTTTTAAAAAAAATTTGTATTTAATTTTTATGGGAAATGCTTTTTTCGTTAAATTTATGATTATTACATGCATGAATTCTTATGAAGCTAATATCCTTCTAATNTAAACTCTCTTTACACACATAGTATCCCCAAGAGATTTTGAGCACGCTGATTGGCTTTCTCGGCAACGCCATCTGTGACGTATGGCTATTTCATTCTGCCATGCTTGTTATTTTCAGCATAGAGTGATTTCCATACTCCAGCTTTTGTGTACAAACTTCAAATGTCAGTTTTTTTACAGAGAAACTGCCTTCTTCATTAAAAAATGAAGTAAAAAATAGTTCCTCAAATACCATTACCCTTAGAAGTAATGTTCTAAATTTAGACGATTGCAATAGGTGGGTAAGGGCATTTGGGGAACTTACCAATACGAAATGGAATTCTAGAACATCCAAACCTCATGGAAAAAGGTTTGTTTGTAGGTAAATAACTAGTTTAGTTATTTTTAAAAAAAATTTGTGTTTAATTTTTATGGGAAATGCTTTTTTCGTTAAATTTATGATTATTACATGCATGAATTCTTATGAAGCTAATATCCTTCTAATTTATTGAATAACATTGAAATCGAATTTAATTGCCTTGCTTAATTATTATACTCACTATAAAATGAGAATTGAATAGTTTTCACTTGATATTTATTTAATTAAATTAATGTTCATCGAATTAAATTAATATTTTATTTATTTTTTGTGGATTACTAAAATTAAATTATAAAATTTTTAATTTAAGATTTTTTAGTGGCGCCATCTATTATTATAAATTAAAACTAAGAGATGTGCATTATGCCTACTTATTTATAACTTATTTTTAATTTTTTTTTTGTTGTTGAATGTTTTATAATACCGAAAAACTATTAATTGGCATCTAAGAAATCAAGCAGTTGTCTTTTAAGATGCCTCTTTTATTATTTTTTGATTGCATAATTCCCATCAAAATAAAAGTCAATGATTATGAATTGTCCATTAAATTATTACCATAAGTAATTAGAGAATAAATTTACAATAATTCTCTCTTTTAATTCTAGTACATTTCCATTGGATTGTAAATATTTTTTTATTATTTAATTGCAGAAAATTATTTGTTTATCACCACAGTGCGTTTATGAAAGTGCCACAGGAGAAATGTAAAAGAAGTTTTTCAAAAACTTTTACAATTTTTTTGCTGAATTATAATTAAATTTTTTAAACATTTTAGAATATTTTCCTCTAAGATATGATAAAATCTTTTTTAAGTAATCAAACATAATTTTAAAAGTTTTTATATACATTTTAAAATCTCATATAATAAATTCAAACTTGACTGAGTGGTTCTGCAATCATACTTAATAAATTTAAGTAAGAGTTTTTAATTTCTAAGTGCATAAGGATATTCACAATGCTACTCAATTTGAATATTAATCAATTATTATGTATATATTACATAAAAGCTAGCTAATAAAACTTTAATTTATGATAATTATTATTATTATAATTATACTAATATTATTATTAATTTTTATTATACTAATTTGATGTTTTACCAAAACATGATTGTTTACTTTGCATTTAACTAAAATTCATAACATTAATGTTAAAAAATATTAGCATAAAATTTAAAGCAAATTAGATTTAAATAAATGTGTTATTATTAAAATACAATTAATAACGCTGTTTAATTTTTTGAACAAAACTTTAACATTTGTCATAAAATTAGCATGAGAAATATACTGGAACTGATTTATGATTGATTTACATTTTGGGAACAAACTACGGAGAAATGTTATTGAGGAGGAGCTACAAAAAGACTTAACAGAAGGCAATGCCGAGAAAGCCAATCAGCGCTCTCAAAATCTCTTGGGGATACTATGTGTGTACAGAGAGTTTACATGCAGCCGGGCGATATTGAAACCCAATCGTTATTCTGATTGGTTTAGATTTCAGCGTTATTTTTAATTGTTCAACGGTATATGTAATTTCAGAGTTCCGTTAGGACTACGTTCTACTTTGGATACCGGCTGGCAAGTTTACTTTTGAATCTGGTCAATAACATCGATGTGGGTAGTCATAAAAAGGGATTTAAGAAAAAAATTTCACCCCTAGTCCGGTATTACAGACGCCATTTTCGATTCGTATTTCGTCGAATTTATGTGGCGATGGAGGTACACAGAATCTATTCATGATAAATTTAGACAGTATCTAACTGTTATTAGATAATTCTGTGCACCTAAATCTGAGAATGTTCAAGCTTAATGAAGAAGTGAGTTTTTTTTTTTCCTTTTCTTTCTGCGCCTACTTCATTAATTTTTGCTTCGATTCAGAATCCTTTTTATTGGATTTATTAATTTTGCTTATATTGGGTTCATTTCAAGCTTTATCCGATGTTTTGTAGAAATTTTCCAATGTTTTATTGAAATTTTCCAATGTTTTATTGAAATATCATTATGTTTTGGCCGCTATTCCTGTTACCACGGTGTTCCTCGCAAATCGGTGTTCCACGATTCCTGTTACCTCGGTGTTCCTCGCAAACAGGAATAGCGCCAAACATAAGTCGCCAATTTCGCCAAGGGGCACCTTCAAGTATATTTTTCCCTTTGATTCAATAATATGTAGAGACTATCGAAGAAATGAAGGCCTGATTTAAAAGTTCTTATACAACGTCTCTTTGTTCCTCGTAGTAAGGATTTTATAATGCTATCAAATTTACCAAAAATTCTGAAATCTTTGCTAGTTAAACATCTACTACTTGATAAAAAACTTTGCAAAGAGCATAGTTGTTGGCAACTACTACATTTTCTGTAAAATATTTTATAGAGCGGTAGGCATTTAAAATTGATGGCTTTCAAAATTTTTATAATTATAAGCCAACATTTTAAAAGCCTTACTTCGAAAGTGCTGGAACAAAACTGCGTTGCATAGGAACTTTCAAATCATTGTATAGCTGGAACTCAGCAAGAAGAATTACCAAAGAATTAAATAAAAATATTATTTAGTGAAATTGGAAAACTGTAAAGACTATTTTTTTTTAATCAAGTGGCATTTGAAACAAATATGCAACCAATTTCAACCTCTCCAAACAAAGAGCCAGTCTCGTTCCGTTCTAAAATAAATCAGAAAAAAAAATTAAATTCACACACAACGATTTTGATATTGGCGTTGAATGTTTCATCATATCATAATTCTTATTACTTTTGTCAGCCTCGTGAAATTTTTTCTTAAAAGCCCTGACAAGGTCATTTTTTAGTGGTCAGATCGGACTACACATGAGAAATCGCTTGTAATTTTAGTTACGGAACGTCATGGTATTTCTCTTGACATTTAAACGCTTCCAATTTTTTCGAACACCCTATTTGTATGGAGCTTATGAAATTACTTTAAGCGACTTGTAGGTCATTTTTTTCTGTTCTTAGACATTTGGAGAATTTGACTGGGATTCAAATATTCAAGGACAAGTGATTGGATCTTATTTCTATGGATGCATTCTGACTCAGCTTCCGGCTGGCATATTGGCTGAAATGTACGGCGCCAAGTGGATCTATGCTCTTTTGACATTTTTGACACCCTTAGCTGCAAGATGGAATGTATGGGCGTTGGTGCCACTGAGAGCTGCAATAGGACTTTCTGGGGTAAAGATCCATAAATATTTTTTATATATATATANCCATTTCAACAGTTGTTTATTTTATGCTGATGACAGCCAAAGAATTTTCTTTGTTAAGTAAGGAACCATATCTGTGTTTTTGCCTGAAAAAGATATCAATAGCAATGAAAAATGGTCTTAGATCATTTTCTCTGTATGATATAAAAAGTAAAATGCAAAATTACAAAATTAAAGAACTCCACTAGACCAAAAATTTTTAATTTTCAGAGAAGAAAAATTACATTACTCAAAGTTTTAAAATCCCGACCTCATTTGTTTTATATATAAGCCAGCAATATCTATTTTCATAAAATTATGCAATGAGTTCATATCTTATTTATGCAATAAGTATACCTAGAATAGCACGATTATTTAATGCAATGTGTATGTTTTATTTAACACAATTATGCAAAGAGTATACCTTGTTAAACACAATTATTTAATGCAATAAGTTTTTGAATAAAATTTTCCGGACTTGTATACTTTTTTTTAAACTTTTAAAGGGAGTTGCCTTTCCAGCAATGAATGTGTTGATTAGCAGATGGGTGCCGAAAATGGAAAGAAGTAGAATATGCACAGCTATGAATTTGGGAACAATGCTGGGCACTCTCGCAACGAATATGGTCACTGGAATTTTGAGTGAAAGTTCTTTCTTGGGAGGATGGCCATCTGTATTTTATATTTGTGGTAAGAAGCAAGGGAATAATTAACATTTTAAAAATACCGTATGGTGGTTAAGTTCATTAAAGTTAAGAATGCCGGTCGGTGTCGTTTTGACACCAGTGGAAACTCAACTAAATATTTTTTTAATAAAATACTCTTTTCATTTGGTAATAATATTTATATAGAAAATAAATAATGCCAACATATTTACCTTTTAGATTATTATTCTCGATTTGAAAAAAATTATTATATTAACATGATTATTTATAACAAGGCAAGAAATAGTTTTGACAGTTATATAAAATATAAATTTTGTTTCTTGATACCACAAATAACACATTTTGTAAGCTAAACTACTTACTTAATCGCAGTCTATACACTGATAAGTTATGTTCCTTGTGAATTTTCCACATACCATCCAGCATTTGTCAGGAGTCCAGAATACGCCCCATAATACAGCCCAATACACTAAGCACTGCTCCTTCTGGACCCCGGCTCTGGGACTGCTAAGGAAACAAGTTAAAGCTCTCCGTAGGCGGTACCAAAGGGAGACTAACCCAAACATAATGCTCAAATTTAATATTAGGTATAAGGCTATGTACGCCAAATATAAAAAACTAATTAGGAAATCTAAAGCGATTAACTTGAAGGATTACATAAATAATTTAACAATAGATAGTCTACACCATATAAAATTGCAAAGGGTTGCTTGAGCAGTAACTTGATTACCAACCCAGTCATGGTTAACTGCAGTACCACGGAGAGCTATCACGACACTATAGAGGGAATCATGCAGCATCAGTTCCCGGAAACGACCAATAATTATACTGATGTTAATAGGTGCCATATTAATGAAGCCGATTTTACTGTTGACGAGCTGGAGTGTGTTATTACGGACCTTAAATCAGGGAAATCTCCGGGTCCTGATGGCATACAAGGTGAAATTTTTAAAGAGGTCTTTTACATTAATAAATACTGGCCATTAACTGTTTTTAATAAATGCCTGGAGTTGGGATACTTTCCCAGCTCTTGGAAGATTGCCAGAGTCACCCTAACCCCTAAAACAAATAAAGACCTCAGTCTTCTGAGGAGGTGCTGGTCCAAAATAATAATAACAACCTTTAATATCTTTTAATCTTGTTATTGATTGTCGCCTTGCCAAACTCCCTTTTATCTGGACCACTTGCCCATTTTTCCATTTTACCACTTTGCCATCTTATTATTACTGTCTAGTTTTAAGTCTGCTTTGTCATGTTTACAGGATTTGTTTGTTTTAAACTGTCTTTTTGCTTTCATACTCCTGTTTTAATGTAATGTCTTTTTAGTCATGTACATCAGATTTTATACTGTTTTTCGACTCTCCTGGGCGTTTTTGCCTTCGGGGCGTGTTTATTTTATCCTGTTGTAGATTTTAAATACTTTACCCTTTTTTTTTATACTGGTTTTACATATTATGTCAGCTGGTCTGACTAATGGATTTACCCTTGCCTTTTTGGCTAATGATTAGTTGAATGATTTTAATTCCACATTTTAAACATTAGTGGTTGTGTCTTTTTTTTCGCATTGTACTGCTGTACGTTATTTTTGTTGTACTTTTGTCTCCAGCTCGTCAACTTTTTTGACTTTTTCAATGTTTTATCACTCTGGTGTCACCTTTGCTTGACAGTTATCACATTTGTAGAACCCTGTTGAGCAATATCTCTTTGTTACTTTTACCCCAGTTATACTGGTGGTCAGGGTATGTATTATTTTGCACCTTCCTGTAACTATCGCTATCCTTGCCAAGGGCAAAATGCTATGTAAAATAGGACAACTTTTTAAGGCTATAAGGGTCTGTTGACCTGCCATATAAGGGTCTGTTGACCTGATATTCTTGAACATTTTATTACTACGTTAATGTTTGTAAATGGCCTGTTGCCATCCCGATTCTTCTGTACTTGTTGTATCGGGGTTAATTGGCTATCGACACCGTGTTCCTGTGGTTTGCTAAATCTTGGTTCAGGTATATTTTTTGTATTTTATATTTAAGGGTATGTTGATCTATTTTAATGTTCCATTGTATTCGATCCATTGTATTTGACGTATGGGCCTATTGGCCTAGACCGAGGTAAAAATTTTCATACCATCCTATTACAAGAGGAACATATTTTGTTCGTAACATTACCATTGCATTTTTTTATTTCACAGTTTTTACGCTTGGGAGGAATTACACATTTGCATTCTTTTTCAATCTTTCGCTTTCTTTCAATTGGTTTTTTATTGCAATCTATTCTTAATTCTTCAGCTAAACTTTGAATAAAACTGCGTCTCGATAACCTGTTACACATTAGAGAATAATCCAGGCATTTATTGCCGCGAAATCTAAAATATTATAAAAAGTATGGACAGGCCATCTCCTTGATCCAGCTTTGACTGAATATTGCCTGCACATCTGATCTACTATATCTACGCCAAATTTTGTTTCGTCATAAAATTTATTGGTTTCTAAATTTTTCTTTGAGTTATTTGCAATATCAATGCTGGCATGCATGGAACTCAGTACAATCACATTTTTTTCTTCTTACACTGATAAGCAGTAAGTGTTGATCCAGATTCTTCGATTTTTTATTAGTTTTGTTGAATATAACTCTTCTCTTGCAGTTTTTATACAATCTGGAATCTCGCGTCTGGCTTTATTCATCGTACCAACTAAACTAGTTCGTTTTTCCTTTAGCTTCTTTGCTAATTCCGGAGACGTAACAAAGTTATCAACAGTCACATTTCGTCCCACATTTAGGAAGGATATCTTGAAATTTCACAAAATCTGTCTCTAGGCATCGTTTCTTTACAAAAATTCAAGCCCCATGAGGAGGACCACAATGAGTGTAGTTCTAGATTTTTAGCTCCTGAGATTCCTCGAGCATACAAAATGGAAATGTATGCTAAAAGCTCTTTTCTTGAGAGAGACCAATCATCACTTTCAAGCACTCTATGAGAGAAGTAAATATGGGCGAGAAATAAATATGTCATTAATTTGAGAATTATAATTTTCATCGATATCCTCTTCGCTTTCAGAGTCAAATTCTTCTCGCCGAACAAAATTTTCATTAGCACAATCTTCATTCATATCCGACTACTCACCACCATCGGATTCATTGTCAGATAATTCTCTGAGAAGCGCTGTTATTTCTTCATGAGTCAGTGCCTGTTTGCGAGACATAATAAAATGTATATGATAAAAAACAAAAGAGATGATGAAAAACGGAATCATAATTTCTGGACAAGAAACGACAGACACATTACTCTCGCGATGAAAATCCGAAGTAGATCTGTGCGATCAAGGTCAAAATTGTTTTGGCAGCGCTCCAAAAAATGTTACACTGAATTTGTTGACCAACAAAAGTAAAAACGGAAGAACTTTTTCAATAGACGAATCGAAACTGTTGACGTGTCATATTGACACCAAACCAGCGTTCTAGGTGAAATCATCGATAAATAATTTTTAATTAAAATAAATGACATTTAATTAGGCATGCAAAATCTAAATAAAGAATCAATAAAAGTCACAAAGAATCAAAGAAACCCAAGAAAAAAATCCGAATTCTACGGTTAAATTTAAATCGTCAGGTGTCGAAATGACACAGTCCGGCGTTCTAGTGTTATAGTAGAAATAAGAAAGTGGTAGCAAATATATCTCTAAAATTTGGTTTAATTTATGAATATAATTGGTTTGTATTATTTACTTGTCAACCACTACAAATTCAATTCTCAAATATATATGATAAATTTCACTCAATTACTTTGAAAGAGAATTTGGGTTCATGCAGACTATGTATAAAAAACCCATACCTGCCAACTTTTACTCTTTCCGAGAATTGAGTTTCAGAGTGGTTGTAAAACAATAAACGAAAAAAAATCTGACTCAAAAATATATTTATATTTTGATCCCGTTGAAATTCGTTTGCGCAAGGATTATTATGCTTTCTTATATTTATTGTAATTTTTTATATGTAGTGGTGGTCAAACTCATTTATAATTATCACTATAATTCGAAAAGTTAATTAGAATAACCTGAGTATTGCTACCACTTTAAATATGAAAATAAAATCTTCCGGAAGAGTTGGCAGGAATGGAACACGTGTAAAGGCTTTTTGATGTAGGAGGTAATACATTTAGGGTTTGGCAAAAGGAATGAACGGCAACAAAACTGAAGAGAAACATACATATACTTCTATTTAAAGCAATTCGAATTTTGTATGCTAAATGGAATGATGCTTACCTCGCAGTGATCGGGTTTATATGTAGTTTAAAAGCTATGAAGGTGTTTTGTACAAAGTACAAAAGGACTTATTTTCTCATCTGGTGTAGCTGTTTAGACAAGTAGGGTACTGTTTCCTAAGCGTTTTTTTTTTAACGTGAATCGGGTAAAATCAAATAAAAGTCCGTTGAAATAATTTAGAAGTTGTTTGGAATAAATCAGAAGTGTCAAAGGAATTTTCTTTCGTAAAAAAAGTTATTCATCTAACTCACTTGCTCATCTGACATTGCTAATTAGTTACTATCTCGACAAGTATGGTACTTTTCATACGTCATTTTTGCTCTAAACAAAAGGAGACCAAACATGACAAGATCGAGCTGTGTTGTTTAGAAATTATAAGGGTAATGTATACACAAGTACAATTTCATACATGTACCTTTTTACGTATCCTACATTGCTGTATGATGCACAGTAAAGCAATGTATTTTTTTCCTTATATATTGCTTTTCTTCTTTAATAGAGCAATAGGACAAATACTTCAAGAGTTGCAACGCTTTTTCATAAAAAAAAAATACTGTTTTTTCATTCTATTTTGCAAGAAAAAACTTATTATGAATTCTTAAAAATTTATCCTTCCGACGAGATGTTATCTCATTCTATAAAGCGAAATACTCTTCTTCTTACTAGGAGTCAACTCTACTGACATTTGACGAAATATTATACTAGTTTAGATAGCAATGTCAGATGCGTCAAAAAGAGTAAATTTATGTAGAAAAATGCAATTATTAAACTATTTTTACTTGGGTTTTATTTCCTTTGGTTCAATGAGAGAAAACACACAAGAACTAATGCCTCACTTTTTCCAATTAACAGTTTGTAGTAAGTGCAAATTAAAAAGAAAAGAAAAGCACTTTAACAATGACTTTGTTTATGTTATTATATAGTTTTTCGCTTTTAGGCTTGATGGGAAGTGTATGGTTTATTTTATGGGCTCTATTAATACACGAAACCCCAGATGATCACCCTCGTATATCGAAAGAAGAACTAATATACATTCAAGACGGTCTTGACCAAGCAAAAAGTAAGGTGGGTGATCTATCTATATATATATTTTTTTAACAAAGATAACAGAATTTTTTCTGTTTATTATTATTATTATTATTTATATTATTATTATTTATATTATTATTGTTTATATTATACTTATTGAATAACACACGATATTCGAGAAGTGGAGGCTAAGGTGTATTATTACTAATAACTGTTTGAAATTTCGTTTCGTTGAAATTTTGTTTTATTTTGTTGAACTGTTTGTTTGTTTGTTTTTACATCTTAAAGAGTTTTTTTTAACCAAAACAAAAAGTAAATAAATAAAATAATATTTATGAAACCTCAAATAATTACAGAGATGCCAACTTGCTCCAGACATCAAATATATATTTTAAAGTGGTAGTTTATCAATTGTGATTCTTGGTTTAATAAATGCAATTTAATAGATTTTTATCCATCACTATTTCTAAATAATTCGTAGGCTTATAATATGAATGTCTTGCTATACCTTTTAAAAAGCAAGCATAAATAGTCAAATATTTGCAAAATTTAGTTTGCAGTTATTTACCACTTTTTTAATTATTTTGGCGTGGCCGGAGCAGCTGGCATATTTGTAATTAACGGTATTTAAATTGCAATTATATAAGAAAATACAAGTATAATTTACGAAACATAATTTTTTCATCTTAATGTTTAGTTACCACTTCATTCAGTTATCTCCGGGTATCATAAGGCAAGTTTATAAGAAAAAACTTTCAAAATGTTAGTGGTTGCGTATATTTGTTTAACTATGGAATGAACTTCGAGTGTAAGGGGTAAATAGTTTTTCAGGGCAGCCAACTTTCAACACATTTTGGAAAAGCTTCTAGTGGCAATTTCTATCAGTGATTCTGCTAGTATTTCTATTTTTACGAAGCTAATGTTTTATAGTTTCATTTATTTTTTAAAAATTTTTTTTAAGTTTTTTCACTCGCCACTATATGTAAATAAAAGTTTATACGAAATGGCTTAACTCGAGTTTTCCTGTGTTGAAACTTTTAGAATGTCAGCAAATAGCAAAAAATTCCGAAAGTTTAGTTTTTAAATGTTTACCACTCTATAAAATATTTTGCAAAAAGAGTAGTATCTGGCTCACCCGAGATTCGATAGCAAAGAGTAAAGAAATATACCAAATAATTTTTTCATCTGAATTAAGGCGTTACTATGGTAAAGAAGAGAGGACTCGGAAAATATGTTAAAGAACAATGTTAGAAAATAAAATTGACTAGCACAAGAATAAATCGTTTGTAAAAATAAGTTTGTTTACCTGAAGACCGAAGAGAAAAATAAGCAGTAAAATAAAATTAAATAATAATAACTGTTATTAGTTGACAGTGAGATAATGTATTTTTTTACTGCTTTAACTTTTTTATCAAAAGTATCTCATTTGTTTTGTTAGG